GCGCGTTTTCAGCAGTTAAGCCTAATTTTACAAAATAAAATAAAAAAAAAAGTATAAAATTGGAATATTTGTATAATGACTTCAATTTTTGAAGTTGCGTAATTAATGTACTTGTTTTTAATATGTATAATTATAAAGAATATCACGTTAATAGAAATAAATTAAACAGTCAAAATACTCAAAATTATAACTATACACACAGAAATAAACACCTATAACATAAAAACGAAATTACAAATACGAAATTAAAAAAATCTGATGTGTACACCACATGACTTCCTTGTACGGAATATTAAATTATACGCATTTTTTTCTTGCATTTCGTTTCAACTTATTGGATTTAATTAAATCTACTTCGCCGACAGCGCATAAACCACAATAGAATAAATGCATTCTTTAAAATTCACTCTATTTGTTTACCATAGTGACACTCTGGCACTAGGTTCACTTAACAGTATTATATTTCGTTCATATTATAACTCAGAATGCACAAAATTTATACTATTTAAAGAATAATTTAATCTTTGCCACATGTTCTATTCAAATACTATAATAAAGCTAGAACGATGTATAAAAGAAATTAAGCAAACAAAACAGAAAAGAAACAGTTTTCACAGACGATTGAGTATTTCTCATTCAGTTCTCACTTCGCTACAAGACAAAAATACATAAAAACTCAAAATATATGTATTAAAAATTCCTAATTATTAAAAATTAAATTACTAATTATTAATAATTAAATTAAAAATTAAATTACTAATTATTAATAATTAAATTATAAAAAATTAAGTAAATCTTAAACGCTTATTTCCTTGAAAAAATTTCAGAAAGGCTTAAGCATGATTTAATTCGCAATAATAAATGAAGGCGCTATGTTTGTTGTTGCGAAGCAACGTTTCTCTAGATTGGCAACAAATCCACTACTCTGCTGTTTCAAATGTATATACAAGCAATGGCCGCCATAAAAAAAATTATTAGGCTTAGCAGCACATAAACAACTTTAAAATTGTTGATAATTCTAAAAATATTTCATACAGATTTACTAAAGGCATAAAAAGTTTAACCAGAAGATAAGAACAACATAATTCAATCATTTTTAAAGCAAAAAATGTACAATTTACAAATATATAAGAGTAAAGAAACAGATCACTGAGCCGGGTAATAGAGTGAATATACAGTCAAAAGTCTTAATCCGGACACGTCGGGACTTCGGTGATTCTGGATTATCGATTTTTCCGGATTATAGATAATCAGTTTAAATCTGCTAAGATGGCATGCAGAAATTATGAAATTAAAAATATGAAACCATAATTTATAAAATAATGAGCAATTATGATCTAAAGGGTATCAAAATTTACAAAAAAAAAGCTTTATATTTATTTGTTTACTTTATTAAACATTTCTTTCAACACGTGCATGCGTAAAGCATACGTTACGCATAGTCGAAATTAGAAAATTGCAACCAAAAAACTATTTAATGTGTATTCGTGATATTTATAATGACGAGGAATTTGATTTAAATCATATCAAAGACAGAGTACATCGAGATGAAATACTACATTTAGTAAGGAATTATAAGCTGAATAAAATAAACACATCTGCCGTGAAGATAAGGATAGTGCTGACAGATCAACTTCCAGTTCATTGCGCGCCGCGACGACCCCTCCCCCCCGCGCAGAGCAGCGTGAAATTGATAAACAGATTTCGGAACGGTTAGATAAACAAAGGATATGCCTTTATCCATTTTTTGTAGCAATTCCACTTTTTGTTTGATGGACATCGAAACATACTTTTGTTTTGTAGATCCTTTGGAAGCTCCAGCATCGGAAATTCTATTTGACATAATCAAAAGTTCAAGCTTACTTTTATAAAATTGCTCTTACAGTCTGCAAAAAAAATAAGCCGGATCCAATTCGAAGATTAAGGAACAAGGCAATTATCAACATTAACTGAAATAGATAATTAGATAATTTTAGCTTATACCATCCGTCATACATTAAACGCGCACACGAAAACGTATTCTGCGCTTGCACACACGCATATGCGCAGTGGGAAATGTCTTGCGCGCATGCGTAAACGCCTATGTGCATGCGCAGAAAGATTTTTAGCTTTGAGGTCTGGATTATAGATCATTCCGGATTATGGGTGTCCGAATTAACGACTTTTGACTGTATATATATAAATATATTTATATACGTTTGGCGCTGCTGATTGCAACCAAAATACCAGGTGCACATCTACATGTTATAGTAGTCCTATATACAAAATTTCAATGTTCTGAGGCTACTCGTTTGTGAGTTACCTGGGATACATATGTTCGTACAAATGCCACAAAAAATTCTCTTCAGAATTCATTTTAAAGCTGTTTCATAATTTTTTTGGAGGAAAAGAGTGTTTTATTCTGTCCTTACGTACAGATATCACATAAAAACATCATTAAATTGCATTCGAAAGCGGTCAAAATGGATATTTTCATTACAATACTTCGTTTTTTACTTCGTACAAGGAAGTAAAAAGAAAACTAAGCAAGACTTACCTGTAGGTAATTAAATTCCAATTTAAAAATTCCGCTGTGTGTGGAATAATTCAAAACAAGGATCAACACACAGGCGTACATTGCATATTTTGCACCCAAAATACGTTGTTTGCTTTCGCTTTTCCTTGTTTTTAGCACACAATGCATCTTCTCCTACCTTTATTACCTTTTCTGTCAACGCAAATTTTCGGAAAATGTCTTCCAGTTAGATGGTATCTTAGACTCTTAGCCATAGATAACGGAATGCAACTGTATATAACCCCAACACATGTCCCAAAATGTCTTCAAAAGACACTCAGAAATATTTCATCCTCAGACCCTGTGTGACATCAGATTTATATTAGAAAGCTTCCTGTTTTTGTAGATCGAAAAACAGTGTCTGCTACGATACCAGAATGTGATCAAGGAAAGACCCCTAGTGGCAGGATATCCGTTACTGATCAAGTCAATATATGCGTTATATATAATTACTCTATATGTAAATACATTATATATCATAATATAATGCCTGGGTCATTATATATAATGACAATTTAAAGCATTATATATAATGACCTATTAAATCGAGTAAGAAAAACAAAAACGCTGGTTGTTTCCTGAGAAATGTGAGCGAGTAAAAAGCATTATGCGTCGAGAAAGCTGATAGTCTTTCCCCTTCTGTAATAATGCTGTAATGTTATTTTTTAATTAACCAAGAAAGTTTATGTTAAGTTTCAACATAAAGAGAGAAAAGGATAACTGGTCTTGAAGTTCTGCGACGTTACACCTACTGCTGCACTTTCCTAACCAAAAAAAGCAAACAACATTAAAAAAAAAAACAAGGAGCTGGATGCAGTTACCCACATTCGTATAACGAAAAAAGCAAAGAACAAAAGCGAAAAAAAATCCTAACAAAATAAATAATAACACCTGAACTCCTTTAATTCACAAGCACACTTATAAAGAGCTTTTATTCACAGTTTGTTTATATCAATAAGTCTATCAAAACCAGAAGCACAGAAACTAATGCCAGTACATGTGTAGAGTCATTAGGTATTTTGGAGGCAGGAAAGATGAAAAGTATGCAACGCCTTTGCCGAGGATTGAACCACGCACCTCTGGAATACCCGCCCAGCGGCAGATCACCACACCACGAAGGTGGGAGAAATACCTTATATACTCCCCCTTTTAAAGGGCAATTGGGATTTTTAGGGGACCCAATGGCCAAATCCTGGGTGGAGCATCATTCAATACCCTTTTAGTTCGGGCACCACTATCGAGACAGTAGGTATTTTGGAGGCAGGAAAGATGAAAAATAAACGCCTTCGCCAGGAATCGAACCATGGACCTTTGGAATACCGGCCCAGCGTGCAGACCACCATACCACGAAGGCATACGAAGAAGGCGGGAGAAATACCTTATACATGAAGGTCAAATGCCATATGAATCAACCTATGTGAAAACAGTTACCATTTAGCCCATCTACTGGCTTTTAAATATTCAAATAATCGTTCCATTTTAAAGTTACTTATAATCGATGCTGGGCAGGTAGGATTTAAATCATTGCATCGCTTATATGGGATGCTAGTCCTGTGCGGGTTAAATGTCACTACGTGATTTACTGAGAAGTCAACAAAGCCATAATCAAAAAGACAATCATACGACTTCAGGCAGTTCGTTACAATATTTGTTCCAGGTAAAATATGCCTTTTAATTACATCCAACAAAGTTTCTTTTCTCCTGTCCTCAACCACTTCAAAAAAAAAAAAAAAAAAAAAAAAACCTTCTACTCTTTTGGTCTATACCACCAAACACCCACTTTACCACCGCACACACTATGCAATGCAGAAGTAAGCCCTTACAAATATTTTTCCATCACTCAAATCCATAGCATTCAACTACTCAGTTATTTTTTAATTAACCAATGTTATTTTTTAATTTTTTATTGCCATAAATGAAAGAACAACTTGGCTGTAATCCAAGGGCACCTTAAAATATAGGCTAGTCAAAACTTATTCTGGTAGGGAGTTGTAAGTTGAAACGAGGCAAGATAGAAAAAGTTAACTAAATTAAAATATAGCTTACATTTTGTAGTGTTCTAACAAAATAGTAGAAATCGGCGAAAGCCTTTTTACAAAAACCAAGCATGTTGAATACTGATTGTTTATTAAATAAATAGGAATTAACTCCTTCAGGATCTGCAGGAATTTTCACTTGTGGAAGAAATGTGAATTACCAACAAACCCTAAAATCTATTTTATTTAAAAAAAGGACTAGAAAAAATATGTATATACAGATCAGTTACAATGAACGTTTTCTTGCACATGCATAAATCAGTAACCATTTATTACTCGTTAATGCCAAATGAACCATAAGACGGTGCATATGTTTCTTTGTTGAACACTAAAAGTTATAATAGCATTTTGCTTTACAAATAATGTGCTAATTCCTTATGCTATATTAATATTATTTAATTTATCTGTAGGTAATGGATGAAGCAAGCATTGAAGTCTTGGTGTCTCGTGAAGCCTATCCAGTGAATACATTTATTTCTGATGATGGTATATATACAGTTCCATTTAACTTGTTGCCCGGAGAGGGTGGTTTATTCAGGGGGCGTACTTCAGAAGGAATTCTCATCTTGACAGAATACAGGCTGTACCATGTAGAAGGAACTTTTTTCAATATCCCTGTTGGTTTGATTGACTATATTGAATGCAGAGATATATTTTATTTATATATTTATTGCAAAGATGGACGCTCATATAGGTAAGAAAGAGATATTTGTTTTGTGAGTACTTGCATATTTTCATGTCGACTGTGATCTAACCAAACTTACATTAATCATTCTGGCAAAAGTTTGAAGGAATGATTCATTCTTTATTTAACCTTCTGAGAGGCATTACTGGCTTTATCTGGCCATGGTTTTTTGTTACTTGGCACATATTAGCAGGGTTCGTAGCGGTCCTTCCAAGTGCTTATAAGTCCTTATGTTAGTAAATAAAATATAAAAGCCCTTATAGGTGCTTTTTCTCTAAAGCAATTTTTTTTTTTTGGCATTTAGTGCCTTTTTTTTTAACGAACGCACACTTTTTCCTTGTACTAAAGCCGAAACTAAATAAACAGCTTTTCTTCTTTATGTGGAACGTCAGATGTTGAATTATACTCCCAGAAATAGATTTTCACCCCTTTCTCTCCATTAACATAACCTTTGGTGCGCGCGAGTACAGACAGGTGCACGTCGTTTTATTGGTCAAAGAATTGCGAAAGCGATAGAAAATTCCGGTACATTCCGTATTTTCTTTTGCTCCCACCCAATACTACACACGTTTGAATTTCTATCAAGATTTTAATAATTTGCATTCTCGTTCCACGTGGTCAGTTCATATTCGTGTTTTTAATGATCGGTATGCTTATATTATGAGCATATGTATAAATATTTATAATAATATATTTGCAGTAACTGCTGAAGTATAGATAAACTTAAAAAATGCATAAGTGTGGCTTAACACAGATTAGTTTTCTAAGGAATGATATTCGGAATGGCATAAGTAAAGTGAAAGTAATCGAATATATATATATATATTTGCACATACTATATGTATGGGATATCGGGTTTATGAGTTTATTTCTGCAGAGGGTCTGTTATCGTTTTCGCGGGAAATCTGTTGGTTCCATTTCGATTTTAGGTCGCCAAGGGCGAATTCGGTAACGCTAGCCGAGAAAAAGTGAAGCTCGGAAATACGTTTTGAAGCTTCAATAGACAATTAAGTATTTGGTTTAAACCTATGTTGTTGATAGTAATGCATAATTTTTGCTAATGGCGATACAATTATTAGTTGAAAATAACTAACTAATTAAAAATTTTTTAATATTTTTAAAGCTGAAAACAACTAATTGAAACTAATTTTCCTGAATTAACTATTAAATTTTTTAATATTTTTAAAGCTGAAAACAACTAATTGAAACTAATTTTCCTGAATTAACTAGACGCAAAATTAACTTTCATGAATTACTAAAGTTATTGGGTAGAAGTTTAACTGAAAATATACATTCCGTATTATATATATATATATATATATATTTATACAGTACAAAGTCCGAGGTCTGGACTCTTCGGGACTTCGGCGATCCCAGATTTGAGAATTTTCCGAATATTAGATCATTTTAAATCTACTAAGATGGCACGTAGAAATTATAAAATTGAAAATATGAAATCATGATTTATGAAACAATGAAGCATTTATTATTTAAAGGGTATCAAAATTTACAAAAGAAAAGAGCTTAATATTTATATGTTTACTTTATTAAACATTTCTTTCAATGTGAGTTGTTTGATTTGTTTTCTCTGCTAATACTTTAGACTAATACTATAGACATATAATTTCTTGTTGAGTTATTAAGTTCCATTGTTCAAGTCCTGTAATTGCTGTGTCGAGAATTCCGAATAACTTGTCAATCAAAATTTTTTCTCGTTCATTAACCTCTCTGTTACTTTCTTCACTATCGGTAGCTGTATTTTCTGGATTTAAAACCACACTACAGATTTCGCCTTCCGTTAATTGATTGATGATTGGGGCATTGTCATCGCAATGAAAAACTTCTGTTTAACTTCCCTAAATTCTGCCGCCTGGTGCGGCCATGTGAGCTCTGGCACTGGTTCTGGCTTTATGTGAATAACAAATCAGTTATTCTTAAGTCAAATAGCACTAAATATAATCGTTTGTCCTATGAGTATCATTAACAAAATCTATTTTTAGCATAAGGAAAAAAATTTCTGTTAAATTTCCCCTTGTCAACATTTTAGCGCATTAAACTTAAATCTGTAATCGGATAATACTGTGTTATTTGGCGTCGCTGCATGAGTCATCACTCAAGTTGTCATCCGTTGATAAACATGCAGTGATGAAAGCAAAACACAATAAATAATGATTCGCGATTTCGGCATCAAGGATATAAAATATTAGTTGCTGTAAAATTAATAAATGCTTCAGTATGAGATTATGCCAAGCAGATACGCAGCTATGGAGTCAAGTTACTAATTATACAAATTTATGCTAAAATAATTATTTCTTCACTAATGAGATATTTTATTTAGCGCCAAACTGAGATTAAGAATCGGGATTTCTGGCATGGTTTTTTATGATGAGGAAAAAAATCTAATGTGCATGCGTAAAGCATACCCCTTCCCTCCAAAAAAGCCCTAAAAAATTGGTTTGTGGTGGCTTTGAGGTCTGGATTTTAGGATCATTCCAGATATTGGATGTCCTGGATCTCGGAATTTGTACTGTATATATGTATATGTACTGTATATATTATATATATAGTAAAAATGTATATTTTCAGTATACATTTCTTATTATATATATAGATTTCTTCTTATATGTATATATATATATACATTATATACATATATATGCGATACTTAATGCCTTGCATGTAATGTCCCTTTTAGCTGCAAAACATCTTTCCCTTCTCAACTGCAGAGTTTCTTCTAACAGTATCATGAATTTTGTCAGTATCATGAAGTTAGAACCATCTACTTCAGGAAAAGATGTAACTGCTAATTCAACATCAATAAGTGTAGAAAATAATAAAATCAATTCTTTTCTTTTCAAATCTGAAGTTACAGATGCAGAAATGTTGTGGGCTTTTTGAAATGCATCAAAAGCCACTATTCTTTTAAATCGTGTGATGATATTGGGCCGTTATTCACTAAAATGTTCCCGGATAGTTTCCATTCGCAAAATAGTGTTCATGGTGGTGAAAAGAAATGTGCTTATATCTGTTATTTTGGTCTTGGCCCTTAATTTTTAAACTTTGTCACTAAAGCATTGTAAAAATGCTGAGTTTTTTACATTACTAGTTGATGAGACTCTTAATCTGACAAATCAAAAGAAGCAACTAGATATTTATGTGAGGTTATCAGCATCACGAAAATAAGGTCAGAACTCAGTACCTTACTTCTGCATTTATAGGGCATGCAACAAGTGAAATTATTTTATCCAAATTTTATGAATGTGTTGAAAAACTAGACTTGTCAAAACTCTTACAAATATCGATGGATGGTCCTGCAGTAAACTGGAAATTTTATGATTTATTGCAACATGACTTGACAAAAGAATATAACGTTCAATGCTTGACATTAGGGACATGTGGTTTACACGTTCTTAACAATGCTTTCAAGCATAGGATGTCATCAATTGGCTGGGACATTCCATCATTCTTATCCTCCTTATATTGGATTTTTAAAGATTCTCCTGCAAGATGTGAAGATTTTTTAAGTATATCTGGCTTAAAAAAACTACCTGTGAAGTTCTGCTTTTACCGATGGTTGCAAAATGTCCCAGCAGTTGAAAGAGCCATTGAAATATGGGATGACTTGCTACTGTACATTAAAGAAGTTGAAATGGGTAAGTTTTAAAAAAAATTCATCGAAATCCTTCTCAATATATTTTGGAGGCAACTAAAAGGTAAAACATTTCTTATAAAATTAAATTTTTTTCTCTCTCTGTCAAAAATATTATTGCCTTTCTTTGAATATTATCAAAGTGATAAACCATTATTTTCCCTTTTTTGCTGAAGATATCTTAAAACTTGTAAATGATGCCTTCAGGACTTCAAAATTTGAAACTAGAATATTCAAAAATAACTAAAGCAGAAAATCTTTATAAATTTAATTTTTAATGATCCAAATTGTTATAATGATAAAGTAAAGTTATTTGGGATTCATTGCTGAGCAGTTAATGAATGATAAATGCCGCAAGGAGGACATTTCACAAGCTGAAAGTTTTGCATTGAAACAAGAAGGTCAACAATGTGTCTTAACATAGTACAACACTTAATGTCTAAATGTCCAATAATTATTCTCTTATTCGAAATACATCTTGTATAGACCCACAATTGATGGTTAAAAGTCCAGAAAAGCCCAGAACAAAATGAAAATAGTTCTAACGGTATTAATGCAGAATAAATGTGTTTTACAAGATGATTGGGATGAAATTCTGCTGCTGTTTGGAGAGTTTCTAGACAAAGTAGTTAAGACAAATTTACGTGAATTTTCTACTTTTGATCCTCAAAATCTTTCTCTTGACACATTTCTCACTTCTTTATTTCATGATTTTCACTATTCAAAAGTATGGGCAATAGTGAAAATGATTCTTATCTTGTCACGTGGACAGGCCTCTGTGGAAAGGGGCTTCTCTGTAAATAAAGCAATTGAAATTGAAAATTTAATTGACTCATCATACATTTTTCAACGCACAGTATTTGATTACATAAAATTTTCTGGAGGTGTTCTTAATATCGAAATTAATAAAGAAATGAGATCAGCAGCAGCTTCTGCAAGGTCTAAATATATGCAGTATTTAGAAGAACAAAAATCTTTAACTAAATCTGAAAATTCAAAGAGAAAACGAAATATCATTGAGGAAGAAATTGATTACATGAAGCAGAAGAAAAAATTTCTTCAAAGGGAAATTAAAGATATTAATGAAGAAGTAGATGCTTTAGCAGATGAAGCTGAGACCAGCATGAACATTGATTTCGATTTGTTTATCAAAGCAAATTAAATTAGAAGAATAGTTAAAGAAAAGGAAATAGACATAAATAAATTAGTTAAAATAGCTGAAAAGGTATTCAGATTTAATAAAAAGCACAAATGTTTTGTATCTTTTCTTGTTCAGTTTATTATTCTAGTATCTTTCAAAAAACCAAGGAAATAAATTGTATGTTTACAAATCAGTTATTTTAATCTGCAAAATATTCTT